CCTCGCTGCCGGTGTGGGAACGGCCCACGGACACACCGCTGCCCGGCCCGGGAGGCGCGAGCTGTTCCCGGGAGCTGCGGATTCTTGGAGCTGCGGGAAGAGGCCGGCAGCGTGGGCGCGGGGGGTGGGAGGGCACAAGCTCGTCCCTCTCAGCGCGGAGCTGCGAATAAACAGCTGCGCAGGGGATGGATGCCACTTTGTTTCGGGGGCTCGTTGCCAGGTAGAAGGCGTGTCTCCAGCCTGCGATGGTGGAAAAAGGGAGAATCTGCCTTCGTTGTCCATGAAATTTGTCTCTGTGCAGACACTTTTTCCTCATACAGCTTCATCTAAGCCCATCACTGATTACAAGAGGCGATTTGCACATTTAAATCGTTTGGACTAATCTTCTTAACAGCACATTAACTCAGTAAGATCCCATTATACTAATAGCTAAGTATAATTCCTTTACATTTTACTCATAAACGTTGTCAGGTGTTGCTTTTGAAAACTAAAAATTACAGGATGAAGTTGAAGCTCACTATGGTAAGCTTCAGGAAAGACCTGTTTATTTTGTATTTCATTTATAGTCCTGGACGGTTGTCCCAGATTTTACACATCATGCCCATTCTGCCTCATTGTCAGCGGTAGCAGTGAATAACAGATATGTGGTCACTGGCAGCAGAGATGAGACAATCCAAATCTATGACATGAAAAAGAAGACAGAACATGGGGCACTGCTGCAGCACAACGGTAAGGGAGCTTTTCTTTGTAAAAAGTATTAATGATAGAAACTTACAGCTGAAAAACTGGCCCTTGCCAGAAGAAAATTGAAAATTTTTTTAATAAGGCTTCAGTATTCAATAGTGATAGTGTTGCAGGTGCGATGGTTTGATGATACAAACAACATAAGCTTTTGAGTGTAAAAATTCAAAAATCAATTTGGTCATTAGCCCACAAATATGTACTACTTCTACCAGGGCAGTTTATCTAGACCATGCCTACTCCTAACAGCCATCTTTCCCAGTGTCCTTGTCCTGTCACAGACATACATGAGCCACACAAAAGAGAGTGTTTCTGTGTGAGAGCAGGCTGCTCTGTTTGAGTCATTTGTAGCTCAGTCCTGATTGTCCTTTTTCTCCTGATAACCAAGTACAAGGAGCTAGACTGAATGTGGTACCTGCTTTCACTCGTGTATGATAAATCTGTTGCTTATGGGAAGCAGTACATGCAGTAGATTCAACTGTGTGTCAAGAGCATGGCTTTGATGTAGGAGCATTCCTTGTCACTGATAGAGGCTCTGGGCCACAGTGTTTGAGTGGCTTGAGTACTGCTGGAATTCAAACGAGTATGGCTCTGGGAAGTCTAGTATGTCACATCAGTGATTGAATGTAACAAGAAAGTTGGAGGTCTTCTTGTGAAGAAATACTTAGGAAGTAATTTAGATTTGCCCAAGGGCAGGGTAGTAGCTGGTGTGTTTTGATGCTGGAAGCTTCTCTGTTAATTAACACATTCTCTGTGAGAAAATGCCCAGTATGTAACACATCGTTAATAACTCTCATTTGGATTTTGTAGGCACAATAACTTGCTTGGAGTTTTATGGTACTGCACATCTACTGAGTGGGGCTGAAGATGGACTCATTTGTATCTGGAACACAAAGAGATGGGAATGCCTAAAATCCATTAAGGCACATAAGTGAGTTTCCTACATCTGCATATTCACATGAGTTCCATGTTTATTTTCCTTGTAAATAATATATGTGGCTAATATGATGTTTTGTTTTTACCAGAGGGCATGTGACGTCTCTTTCTATTCATCCTTCTGGGAAATTAGCTTTGTCAGTAGGAACAGATAAAACATTAAGGTGAGTCAAAACTGATGAAGAAATGCTGGGAATAGTAGTTCAGTAACTTAGCAAATTGTTATAAGCAACAATTCCTTGTTGGCACTAGACCATACAACACTGATAAAACATATTTGGACACCAAATAGTTCAAAGATCCATTGGTTTGTCTTTTTAAGTTCTAGGTACCAGCGATATTTTAAAGTCTTTTAAAAATAGTCCTTGCTGTTCCTAGATTCTTGCTATGCTCTGACTATAGTCGCTTGTAGACGTATAAACACATTTGCTTTTTGGAGCACAATTTGTTTAAACTTCTGAAAGCCATCAGGTTTTGATCAGTTGAGAAAAGTAATTTTTCACTTGGACTGTGTACATGTTGCTGTATACATGTGTTTTAAATATATAAAATGCTCTTTTAACGGGACAAATTGGTATTGGGCTCCTTTTGGGCTCTGCTTTGCGAATGGTTTATAAAATAAATATCACTAATTCGACCTTACAGTTTGCAAGGGATGTAACAAGTCATCACTTTCTTTTGCATTGAGAAGGCAGCAAGATGCATAGAGATGCTTAAAAGCTTCCCTTGGATGCTTCATGTCAGCAGTTAGGACTTCAGTTTCATGATGCTGTTTTTAACTAAAATGCACATTATCTCTTCTTGTCTTTCAGAACTTGGAATCTTGTAGAAGGACGATCAGCCTTTATAAAAAACGTGAAGCAAAGTGAGTTTATCAGTCTAAATCCACTACAAAGTGAAATTAGATATTTTATTTTTGTGTGTGTGTAAAGAAAAGTAGACTGAATTAGTTAAGTCAATTAATTACAAGCAACATTCACAGTGTGTTTTTTACACATGCAGACAAGCATATGTAAGTGTATGTCCTTAACAATAATAATTTACCAAAAGGAAAACGTAGTGACACTAAAGTAGTATCTTTTTCCTTGAAATTTGATGTCAGGACATTTAAATGTGGTTTGGTTTTACTTTATATTTTACACGCTTCCAGTAATCAGAAATAAACATTGAAGAGCATAGTTTTACTAGTTTATTCTGGGTTATTTGATTTTTTCCTGAATTTTTCTCAAGTGTAGGTAGAAAACAGTGTCTAGCAGCTTCTAAAGATTCTTACTTGTAGATTCTCATGCAATATAGTATACAGAAAACTGTGTACATGTGTATACAAATGTATCAATGTGTACAGATGCCCACATAATTAAATGGTCCCCTGATGGAGAGAAGTATGTGACCGCGATAACAAATAAAGTGGATATCTACAAACTTGACACAGCTTCAATCACCGGCACTATTACAACAGAGAAGAGAATTTCTTCACTTAGATTTATTACAGTAAGTAATAATAGAAAAAAAGGTGCTGGGAAATTGACTAGTTTGAAACACGTTAAATTAATCACACTTGCATTTCTTTTTTTCCCATTCCAAGGATTCTATCCTCGCCATAGCTGGAGATGATGAAATGATAAGATTCTACAGCTGTGACTCTCAAAAATGCCTGTGTGAATTTAAAGCTCATGAAAACAGGTATTCTATAGTTATTTACTATTTAAATATTTATGACAGTGCTGAGTACTCAGTAAAGTTCAATGACTTGTAATGTTCAGCATATTTTACTACTGTTTCTGTTTTAGTACAGAAAGTAAATTTACTTACGTACTAAATTCCATATTTGGGACAGACTTGTTTGCTTTTAGTGTGAACACAAGTACTATGCTGTCCGTGCATGTTACAAAAACAATAGGGTATAGAATTAGTTCTAAATTTATGGTATAAGTACAGTATAAAATATTTAGGTCTAAATATAAGATCAGCATAGATTGTATCTAAATATATGTCTTAAATATCTCAATATGCTGGCATGGGTCTATGTTAATCTTTTTTTCAGGAAGAAGGTCTTCTTTCTCTCTTTCTGTAAGCTTTGTTGTATCAGAACTGTAGTGGGGTCTGTAGTGCTTCTCAGGCAGGAGGTGAAAATGGCTGTACAGTGTTCCCAGTGCTCCACTACAAAACTGGACTGGACGGGCAAATTTGGTTGTAAGACATCTGGCGATGTTCTTCTGTCCTGTCTTGGTCAGTCCTTGTGGCAGTTGCCCTCTTTACCATTCTGAGACTGAATTACCCAGTAGGCTCATCCCTGCTGCAAGCCCCCACCCCTGGCTGACGTGGAATTTCCCAGAGGCCAGTGGTGTCTCTAGAACTATAGATTGGTCATCGTGGTATATCAAAGCTTTCAAGTGGAGAGGTGGTAGGTAAGGAGACCAAAACAGGAAAGGTTCTGCTAAATTACTTGGTTATATACAGAATGCACGTGTATGTTTTTATTTATTGATATATGTAGGTGTATAAAAACACACGCACGCACACACACATACTTAAGTGTGTGTGATCTGTGTATTTCTGAAATGAGGTTATCAGTATTTTCTTGCAAGACCATCTAAAGAATGTTTAACCAGTATTTATAGATTCTGACTCTTTAGAATGCCTAAATAAAACAAACCAGTTGTACTCAGTCCAGACAACAGAAGGGTAATCACATATTCTCTGTTGTTGTTGAATACCAAATATTTGTCTAAATGCTGTTTTTAATTCATCAAAACACAAAAGCATTAGCTAAAATGTAATTGATGTGGTTAATAGTTTGTGCTTAAAAGGATTAAAGTGCTCTGAATGAAATCCTAATGAGCCTAGCAAAGGTAAGTGTTCCTACTCAAAACAGATAATGGATCCAAGTGCCTGCTTGTCATTTGTGGGTTTTCTGTTCGAACTGATTTTCAGACTGTTATCTGTTCATCTTTAATTTTTGTCATCTTACTGTTCTGAAGTTAACCACCATGCTATAAAGTAACAAATTATTAAATTTCTTTCCACAGAATAAAAGATATCTATAGTTTTGAAAGAGAAGGACAACATGTTATTGTTACTGCATCCAGTGATGGTTACATTAAAGTGTGGAATCTGGATCTTAGTAAGGTTGGTCTATTAAACTGCTTGTTACATTTATGGAAAAAACAGACAACCAAATTTGCAGACAGTTCTGTTATAAAGATTAATTTTAAATCACTGAGGAAATTTTACTTGAAAAAAAATAAGGATGTCTTGATTTTCCTCCATAACATGGAGGAAAGAGATGTGTGCATGTCTATGCACTTTTTTGTATGCACTTGTGTATTTTTGTATCTTTGTAATTTTTTTTAAACAAACTATAGAATCTGATGATATTATGGAGAACTCATCTCCTCTTTATGTAAGGTCATGCTTCCCTTCAGATCTACCTGACCAGACTTGACTATCTAATCAGTTACACATGTTCTAAGCACTGCTGTGAGTTTTTGTAATGCTGATGACTGTTGCTACTTTTTTAAAAACACAGACTCTACGGTTTGGGGCGGGGAGTGGTTGTTCATGTAGGGGTGGAAGTCCTTTTCAAAAATTAAAACACACTAATGTACTGGGTACTTTTATTGCCTGTATTTTCAAACAGTTCAGAGTAGCACAGCTCAACAAGGAATTGTCTTACCTTTTAAGTCTCCTGTGTTTATTGTTTGCTCTGGGATTTGTCTTTTAAAATCATAATTAGATTTTTTTATATTTAATGCCTAGTAATAAAGGATCTACTACACTCCCTTATAAGTATCTTCAGTAGTTCAAATAACTATCTGTCAACATTCATACACTTTATGTATCTCATCTGAATTTACCCATTTTTAATTTCATGCCCCCTAATTATTTTTATACTTCTAAGTGCATTAGTGAAAAACCCCCTTGTCCATTCACCTCAAATTTCTGTTCCCTTTGTATATAATTGATATAGTGATCAGGGAACTATTTATCTTGCACTGTAATACTGTCTTTATTTTTACCAGATGTGTGCTTTTCTTCCTGTGCAGGCAACATTTTGTAAAGCTCTGTATAACTATGAGAACTGTTCTGTCCAGCTTTGTGAGTCAGAATACAAGTAGTTTCTCATGGGTTGATGCTGTTACGCTGCACATAAGTTTGTGACACTTTATGCCAATATATGTAACAGGATATTTGCTCAGGTATTCCCCAGAGCTGACAGATAGAGTTGCAGTTAAGCAATTTGAAACACACGCTGAAGAGATTACTTTTAACTAGCAGCCTTGTCTTTGTGAGGGAGAAAAGGAATCTGATGCAGTAACTTAATTCAAATTATTTTAGCTGTACCAAAAAATGCTTTTACTCTGGAGAAACTTCTGAAACTATTAACAATTTTTTGTGAGTCTATGACTTACCTAGTTATTCCTCATGTTAAACATACCCCCGTGTACCTGAAACCCACTGCTCTTACTTACCATGATGCATTCTTAAAGCCATTGGGACGTTTTTTTTCAAACCACGACTGAGGAATGATGTTAGGAACAGGACTGTAACAATGTGGCCATTAACCTGTATGCAGCCTCTAGTTCTAAACATTGTTAGGCACCAGAAATCAAGTGGGAGGTGGGCAGTAAAATACTTTCTCACTTCAAATACTTCAGTAAATTTAAACAGAAATGAAATAATGTTTAATTCTTTTTCTGTATTATCTTCAGATTAAAGATGTGCTGTCTTTACTGTGTGAAGTCAGTACCAAAGCTAGGCTGACATGTCTTGCAGTATGGCTTGACCGAGCTTCAGAAATAAAAGAAAATTCTGATAAAGCTGCAACATCATCTCAAGGTAACGGAACTGTTTGTGTTTTCAGTTGTTAATGTGACTGTGAAATAGAATATACTAAGTGGGAGGTTTTTATTATATGCATTGGAAAAAGTTTTGGTATCTTGAAGAACCGGGGATATGACACTGGCAAGTGATACAGATATCCTTACTAATCCGATAGTGTCTCAAGCCTGCATGTATGTTAGAGGACATAAGCCTCTTTTCACTTTTATTATGTGGAAGTTTTGTTTCTTTCCTGAAATAACATGCTGAGGAAGCCACTGGGAAGCTTTGGACGCAGATAAGAAAAGAATAAACAATTCGACAGAACTGCATGTCTTGTTTTCCTATAAACAAAATTAGGTCTGAGGCCAATGTAGCTGAGCAAACTTAGGAAGTCTGGCTCAGCTGTTTGGGGTTTTTTCCTTATGTTTTCCTGTATGGTAATCTATTTACATATATATCTTTAAATATTTTTGTATCACAGGCAAAACAAAAAAATGGCACATTCCACTGCAACATAATAATAATAATATAATAATAATAA